TTTCTGCTTTATGGCAACTACAAATTTGAGTTTAATTTGGGAAACAACTGTTTTCGGCGTGACTACTACACAATAACTTGGTTTTATCTATCCCTCCAGTATTTCCCGACCTTGGCTACATTGTGTAACAACACTACGAGATGAGCATCTGATAATGTGTGGCCTACCCCCATATTCCCTCAACAGCAATGACTCCCATCATGGATTAGTCGTTTATCGCCAAAGTCGTTGACTTGATTGTTTTACAAAAAGAAAGCATGCCCTCCTAGGGATAATCTGAATTTAAATGACTTTTCTAATCATGTTCGTGTGTACATGGATTTAGTCCTTTCTTCCACGTAAATGAAAGTTTTGCCAGTTATTCATTGACAGTACGATGATAATTTTCGCCCCCAAAATGAAACTCGTTATCAAAGTAACACCTTTCAGTCAGATTACGCCCTATAATCGTATTAAGGTAATATGATTGTGTCGCCATTTCTCAGTAGAATGTATTCAAATTTTGTAGTTATATTGCTTTGAAGTCGAGAAAATTTTCTGCCACAAAAAAAAATAGTTTGTCAGAATTTTAAGGATTTTAAATGGAAATTTATGTAAAAAGGAGTGAATTTTGAAAAAAAAAATGAAACAAAATGTTTTGCAAAATAATGTCAATAAAAATGATACTAACATAGATAAGTATTGCATTAATGTATATCAATTTCATAAATACTGAAATTGTGTAAAATTTATTATCTATAAATGATTAAAAATTGACATTTTATAATAAAACCATATACACGTAGTAATTGCATGCAAGAGTTATTGTTCTTGAAAAACTTCACAGTAGTGAAATAGGTAGCCGGTTTCCTGAAGTACAGAAAAATGGACACATGTGACTCATTGATTAAAAACAACTGAATTAATGCCTGGATTGCTTTAACAATAAGCATACAATATTCATCACTTTAATATTAAACATTAGATTATGCGGAAATTGTGATACTGTCTCCCTACATTGGATTTTCAACTAGGGATGTACTTCATATTTCCGTTTAGCAATAAACTCCTATGACCTTAATTTTGTCCTCTACTATATATGAAGAGAGAGATAAAATGACAGCGGTAACATACAATGTACCAGGATCTCTCACTTAGGGATCTAGCATATCACAGTTGGTTTACATCAGCACAATTTGCATAGAGAGATACACGATACAAGAATATTTATCTACCGTCGCATACCAGAAACGTACACACGTTAGCTCGGTTGAGCTAATTCTGCCACACCCCTTAAATGCGCCCTATAAATTACGTAAGCATGTAAGAACAGAACAAATTTCCCGTGGTCATTAAGCTGGGTATTCACCAACATGACTTGATTTCTAATCATGGGGTTTCGGTATGGGAGATGTAAGACATATTTCCTATGGCATAAATTACTAGTGACCGTTGTCAATCCGATAGAATTTGCCTGTTTTTATAGGGATTAACGGTACTTCAATTTTTGCCTGTTTTTATAGGGATTAACGGTACTTCAATGCGACATGTTTTTATAGGGATTAACGGTATTTCAATGTGAAATGTTTTTATAGGGATTAACGGTACTTCAATTTTTGCCTGTTTTTATAGGGATTAACGGTACTTCAGTTTGATATATTTCATCTCTATTTTACTTTGATCTCGATCTCGATTTAATATACAACATTCTGTGTATTCCGTCTTTGCGTATTGCAGAGTTATCTTCTCTTGGGAGCAGGTATTGATTGTTACGTCATTGGTTTGTGCGAGAAAATTACGTCGTTTTCTCAAAAAGAAGATCACTTTGCAATACACAAAGACGGAATAGGAAACTCTAAGGTTTCCATCTAGTTGATCAAGGTATGCAGAAAAGGATGCCGGGATTTTGTCTATAGTCACTCTTCTGAATTTATTTAAGGTTAATAACATTTAGAGGCATATCTTGACATAAGCTGCCAATCATTTATCTTGTCGAAGACATTATTTCACGAACGTGACTCTAACGGACCAGTCGCAAGTATATGCATTCACACACAAAAAGGATGGCATATCTCTTCTTTGAATTGGTACGCATAAACAATAGTCACACCCTCGATGTTGCAACAGTGTATCCCATCAGGAATAAATTTGAAACATAAATACAATTTGTCACTGGTCATCACGGCTACTCGTGTATCAAACACCTGTCGTCATTGATCGTGAAGGGAGTTGTCTCTGCTGTTTGAACCTCAGACTTCAACGTTTGCCTTATAGCTAGAATGTATGTTGAAGTCAAAGGATTTAAAGAGGTATGGCGTAAAGGGGGTTTACTAGCATCTTTCCTATTACGCCTTTTGATACATCTTGGAACACCCAGGATTTTGATTTTCAATCGTTTGACCTTTAGTACCAATAATGAGTCCGACATGGATGACGTGACGACATGACGTGACGACATGGTGCAGTAATTATTTACTGTGTTATGTTTTCCATGTCGACTTACTACTTCTTTAAATATGTGCTTACTGAGTAGTTCTAGTTTTTATTTACTGTATTGATTCATGATGTAACAACCACTCCAACAATACATTATTGATTGAACATGGCAAATCTTTGGGGATAATGTTCAATAATATTTCAATATATTTGACACAACAGGGTTGCGAGATTACACCATAAACATCTGTTTCTATAGCCGAGCGTCTCGGTGTTCTCCAGACAGATATCCCAGATATAGCAGCAGTTCTGTACGATTGTACAGTGCCTGTCTCTCTGGAGAACGCCTCTCTGCTCAACTCACAAACACTGAAGTAAAATATGTAGTACCTACCCTTGGCGTTTGAAAAATAAATTTTAGGGGAAAATTTTTCTTTGTGTGTTTGTTGGGTTTTTACGTCTTATTAACAGCATTGGTCGTTTAATGACGTGCCAGGTTTCGATGGTGGAGAAAAGCGGGAGTTCCCGGAGAAAAACCACCGAGCTACGGTTAGTACCTGGGGACTAAACCACGTAGATCTCGAACCCGCGACCCAGCGGTGGGGGCTAGTGGTTGCAGAATGTCAGAAGCCTTAACCACTTGGCCACCACTAGGGGATATACATGTATTTCATTAACTTTGAATGAAGGTTTTGCATTGAATTGGACTTCATATCGCTATAGAATTTGAGATATTTTTTCAGTAAATCACATTGATGAAACGAAAAACAATCACCTTATCAGATGTGACCTAATTCATCTGTGTACCAAATCTTTAACATTGTTTATGTGGCACGACTCCGTCGGATTAATTTCTATCCGTAAATCATTTTTAATCATATTGTAGCGGCTGTAACAGAAATAAATGGTGATAGCAACTATGAAAATAGCAGGGAAAGCCAAGGAGGAGCAATTATTTTGTCATTCAACATTATTAATTCCAAATCGACTTCTATTGCAGAGTTGGCTTAATATTGTCAATCATCTTCTTGTCAACAACCTGTAAATGTTCTGGCTGACCAGAGGAACATTTATGATTTTTGTTAAAGATTTAGAACACATGAATCACTTTTTATACATTCCTTTACATATCATGTATAAGGAGTAATTTATATCTTATAAAAGAACAAACAATTAATCCGATATACATATAACAACGATTTATTTTTGTATTTTGTTGTTGTTTATTTTTCGTCATTTTTAACGTGCAACTATAAAAACGTACATAATGATATGTATGTACAATATAACCATATACATACATACACATGTTATACTTGTTTTACACATTACAGGTGCATGAGGGATTTTCAATATATTTGTCATGCTAATTTGGATATATTATATAAACTTATAGAAGTAAAATGTTTTAAGGATATAACATGGATGGCCATAGTATAATCAGCTTTTCAAAAACAGTTTTAAGGGAAAAACGTCTTATTTAATCAAGGCTACTTACATACCATATAATAGTAATGTGCGGGGTATCTCGCAATCCTAAATAGAACAATTGTACAGTTCTTGATAATAGTATACTACTATAGCGATGACGTAAATACATCAAACAAAGCGTTAACTTTTAACATTATCTGTTAATTACTTTCCATGTCTCTGAAACGTTTCTTTAAGTCGAACGCTCTCTAATTGCAACCGTAAGGTGACACACAAAATATTGTTAAAGTTGTTATCGTAAACTGGTAAATTAATGACAAGTTAACAAGGTACAGTAAATTAATTACCTGTTTAATATACAAACCGATAACCTTTAAAACGTCCGTATTGATACCCTGTTAACCGAGGGTAGTGTGTCCATATTAATTCTAGAGTACATAATAATATGACTTTTAATGTTTTTTAATCTCTAAAAGTTCAATTATAAAACCTATATTGGACGCTATATTAATGTATATTTCATTATATTACCTTAGGCATTGTGTGTTTGAACGTATGAATACATGTTAACTTAGCTTAATATACTTTGTTAATTGGTTGTGCAAATAACATGTTAACCGTGCTGAATGATATATAAAATTAATCATCTAATACCCGTCAACCGGACGGAATAATATATAACAATAATGACATGGAGGATGAACACATTTTTAATTGTAGGTAATACTACTCTGTTTATTAGGTGTAATAAAACAATGTAAACAGGACGGAATAATACATTGTAGTTTGAGCTGATTGATATAATATTAACTGAGCGGAATAACACATATTTGGATTATCAATACCAGGTTACCATGGAGCTTTAATCGGACGGAATGATACACTGTCAATTTTGTGTAATACTTGCCTGTGTACTGATACAATGAGTTTACTTCCATAAAACATGACCAGTCTGTATGATACAGAAAATGTAACTAACGGTCCTTCAAGATGAAGAAGCTGAACATGCTGTCTGTTTCCGTCTCATGTATTTTCAAATAAAGGGAACCGTATTACAAGTATAGATATACAAAAAAATGAACATTTATCGTTATTCTCAAACGTTTATTGTCTACAGGGAACCGTCGTTAATATTTTCTTTTGTTTGTTTACAGAAGCCACAATGCACGGACAGATAGTGCTCCCTGTGATGTTATGCCTGATATCGATGCTCAGTTCCTTCACTGACGCAACGGATGCCTCCGGTGAAGTTCCGATATCAAGTGGGAACCTCCTTCGCGAAATCTTGGAAAGTCGGGACTTTACAGATGTTGAAAAAGAAATACTGAAATATATTATTTTTTCTGATGTCAAAGATTTTGTTGAAAGAAAAGAAGCTTCTGCCGAAAGCCGAGAGGATTCAGACAGTGGTATTGAACGGAAACGCAGTCATCTTTGGGCCTACCGTCAAAACAACATTCCCATTCAGACGAGAGTGGCATTTGGTCGGCAGTTGATGAGAAACTCGAACGGACATGGTTCCAATTCAAACCTACTCAGATACGGAAAATAAAATGTTATCTCAAATCAAAAAAAGTAAGAACGTTCAGCAAAAAGTGTTTTACAGGGACAAATTAACCGACTTTGTAAGATTACAGTTACTCAAGTATGATTCGGGTTTCGTTGAAAACATTGCGAACATTTTGTATTGTAGCAATCAAATATCAATGTGTATTTCACTTTGTTTGGTAAAATTTTAATTGCAGTGTAAATCTTCGGACCGTCTCTGCTTCGGAAATCATCGACAATAATGAGTAGGCTTGTACATCTAAGTGGTTTTTTACTTGTAGACATAAAGAATTCTTTATTTGATAATTGTTCCTTCTTAACAGAGATAGAAAGCCTTTGCGTTTGGTATCATCAGAATGCATTACTATTAAAGTTTTATATTCCTATCGGTATGTGGTTCATCTGTTTGTTAACACAACACATAACGACCCCCTGTCTAACGATCTTCGATTAATACACGCATATCTCGACGAGCGTCTCGTTCACGTTTATTCGACAGAATATGTGGCAGTTTCCAGTAAGCAATGAGTTGAATTTCAAATACTTTGCTAATCACAAATGGAATTTATAATAATCAAAACTTACATATATATGAGAAAATCTGAAAATTATTAATCGCAAATTATCAAACTGGACCTATTCCCCTCAACACCATATCTACATGTGCTGTGACAAGATACAGATAAACGTTTAGTGATAGCAATACGTTACAACCGTGATTCCATTGAATTCCTAACATCATTAAAATTCTTACAAACAAAATTTAATACCGGCTTTGCTAATTACTAAACCAATCCATTCACCTCCCACAACCATCCTCAGTACCATGTGATCCCGGTTACAGTCATATTGTGATACTGTACACTCCGGAAATGGAATTCGTGGAATGTGGAATTTAGAGATTTTAGATTTTAGGTAAGAAAGACTGATGAAAAGGACCCTGTTGACAATATCTTTGTGATTTTGAAAAGAAGATTAATTCAGCTTACTGGTGCCATACATACTTTTATTGTATTTTGATGCTAACGTACCTGGAAAAAACCTTCCTTGTTTTGAAAAGGTAAAAAAATCAAACCTTGGGAGTTAGTGAATCGGGGTACAACCATTATTTTGTACATATAAGGTGACAGTACCCAAACCAGATCACCAAACCATCATTAATTAATTCATTGAAAATTCTGAGAATGAATTATATTCATTTATGGTTGTATCTTACAAAAACAGAATTAGCACCAGGGACTCACGTGAGATACTTATATAACGCTCTGAAGTCACCAATCAGCGGTTCCGTTTTTTGCAAATAGCAGGACTAAAATCGGATCAAGGCTTGAATTTTGCAGTATCGTACACTTCAAATAAATACTTTATGTCAGCATATTAACACTTTAAGATGATCTTTCGAATTTATATGAAACCAAGTATTTCTTTAGGGTTTATTTATTTCTATAGTCCAAAACAGAATGCATAGTCGTCGCACGCGCCGTTTTCTGAAAACGTAGACAAAACACTGACTTTTGAATTACGCATTCAGGTGCTATTTGAACTTAGAAACTAATCATCTGTAGACAACAAATGGTGCAGAGCTATCTATTCTAAGGCTTCATTATTGTTATAACTGATATGTTGACATATTTATTGATTTAAAAGTATTTTTGCAAAAAGTGATCCGATTTGGGTACTGATCTGATGTGGGTTCTGTCAAAACAACGATTTTTTTTATTTTAACTCTAGATCTAAATTTCTGTCAAGCTCACGATCAGATCATTTCACCAATGTTTCCATAATGTTGACTCAAAATATTGTTTTTAAGTTGGAGAAATTGGAGAAAATGTCTTTTCATCAAGACCAATGAACCATGTTGTTTTCACCAGCCGTACACAAAAAAAATCGCTGAAATTGCTCAGTTAGAAGGATCACGCCTCGGCAGTCAGCACGATGTATTAGATAACGCAACAAATTAAAAGGCACATATACTTGTTCCTGCATATAGCCAGGATATAAAGGTTAATAGGAAAACTGACAGCAAAAGAAAGTGTAAAAACACGTACCCTGTCGTACATTATGTAAAACATATTTTCACGCACAAAAAAACAGCCAGATTTAAATATATTTATTTTTTTTATCTAGATGATCATTTATAATGTAGGCTTATGAACAATAAGGTTGATAAAAAACACACTTTCATTACATTTTACAGATGTGGCAGATAATCAACATATGTTAGTATATAATGGCGGAATTTATAATGTTGGAAAAATAATTACATGCATCCATTATTTTCTCCAACATTTTCTCATCTTCGTTATATCTTCTTCCATAATACAAGCATATACTTCGATTATTTCTTAAATAACAAGGTATTAATATACCAATTCGATCGTATATATCTTCGGTGAACTAGATATCAAAGAGAAGACCTACTCTTCTACATCAGAAACCTACGTCAATGTTCACTTTCAACATGACCAACAGGGACAGGTTATCACTAGATGTGAAATTTACAATCATGGACGTTTCTTTTCATAATATCACCCCTGCTTCCCTCTCGCGGGGAATTTATAAGTTAAAGATCATTCGATAGTCACAGGCTTGATCAAAATATCACAATTTACGTGATGGATGTCAAGCTCTGAGAGATAACTTAACTACACAAAGTGTCGAGAGATTAACGCTGCAGAAGTGTTCTAGTTCCCTGTTCAAGTTTGAGCATGGCATAGATTTGATCAAGATATACAAGACAATTGTCGTTGATATTTCAAAAGATGGTTGGCATTCAGAACACTTGGTCTTATCTTTATATTTAAGGGTCTCCATCATCCCCAAACACTCTAGATTTCTACATTCTCCCTGCAACCTACGATTTGTACATGACGAAACCAAAGGCCATTTACCTGTGGATCATACAAGTTACTACAATAACGGAATCTTCACTACCTTTGACCGCAGTATAATGCTTTAATTAAAAGTGAATCACACTACAGAATGACTGTAGAATTGGCCAGCTTTATTCTCAGAGCAGTCCCTTGATAATCGTGAAAACACGTGAACGTCTGTCTATCAGCTTTGCAGTTAATACATATTGATGTTGTGAAAGAATCATGTACCTAGCTCCAATGGCTATATATTCTCGTGAGAAAATCCGGTGAGGAATGGCGTATTAAACGCGTAATATTTTGATTTAAAAGTCGAAGTTGTCGTGTATTTTTCTCTTTTCTTTACATTTGTCCCTAGTGTCATCGATTTTGAGTTTGAAATAAGAGTTAAATCCTTTTATGATCACACAGAATAAAAGTAACCGCATTGTCAACGAAGCCAGACAACTGAAGCTAAGGAAACATCAAAACAACATGAACTTCAGAAACACCAACAGGTACTTCGGAAACATAAATACAACAAGAGCCATGGAAATACTTAAACAACGGGAACTACAGACAACAAGACAAAGAGAGCGAACAGATACAGACACAAACGGGACTGTGGATTAGAGGAGATACCAAAACAACAGGAACTAAATACAACAAAACAATAGAGAGCGAACAGACACAGAAACAAACGGGACTATGGATTAGAGGAGATACCAAAAAAACGGGAACTAGAGACAACAAGACAACAGAGAGCGAACAGATACAGACACAAACGGAACTGTGGATTAGAGGAGATACCAAAACAACGGGAACTAGAGACAACAACACAACAGAAATGGAACAGATACAGACACAAACGGAACTGTGGATTAGAGGAGATACCAAAACAACAGGAACTATAGACAAGAAGACAACAGAGAGCGAATAGACACAGACACAAACGGAACTGTGGATTAGAGGAGATACCAAAACAACGGGAACTCGAGACAAGAAAACAACAGAGAGCGAACAGACACAGACACAAACGGAACTGTGGATTAGAGGAGATACCAAAACAACAGGAACTAGAGACAACAAGACAACAGAAATGGAACAGACACAGACACAAACGGAACTGTGGATAAGAGGAGATACCAAAACAACAGGAACTAGAGACAACAAGACAACAGAGAGCGAACAGACACAGACACAAACGGAACTGTTTAATAGAGGAGATACCAAAACAACGGGAACTAGAGACAACAAGACAACAGAGAGCGAACAGACACAGACACAAACGGAACTGTGGATTAGAGGAGATACCTAAACAAAAGGAACTAGAGACAAGAAGACAACAGAGAGCGAATAGACACAGACACAAATGGAACTGTGGATTAGAGGAGAAACCAAAACAATAAGAGCAAAGGAGATACCAAAACAACGGGAACTAGAGACAACAAGATAACAGAGAGCGAACAGACACAGACACAAACGGAACTGTGGATTAGAGGAGATACCAAACACAAGGAACTAGAGACAAGAAGACAACAGAGAGCAAACAGACACAGACACAAACGAAATTAAGGATAAAAAGGAGATACCAAAACAATAAGAGCTTAAGAAACACCAACAGGTACTACGGAAACATAAATACAACAAGAGCCATGGAAACACTTAAACAACGGAAACTACAGACAACAAGACAACAGAAAGCGAATAGACACAGACACAAACGGAACTGTGGATTAGAGGTGATACCAAAACAATAAGAGCAAAAAAGATACTAAAACAACAGGAACTAGCGAAAAGCTAATGCGAGACATAAAATTGTAGCGATGTCAGCTTATATTTCGTTTCTTATACCACATTTTGTACAGTTGGACGAAAAAGATTTCAGTTATTAATTATTGGAAAGTCTTCATTTAGCTAATATAAAGTTTAATTTGTGTAAAACTACATACATACATACAATTTCTACACGGAGTGATCGTTCTGCAAATCATATACGCAATTGCCAAACATTCACAGCCAGCGTTCTTGTCAAAAGTTTTGCACTTTTCTCATTCATTTTTTGTTATTTTAGTATTGATATTAAGAAATGATTATTGTCTTAAACTTGATTGAGGACATTTTTGACATATATGACGAAGCGTTTGTGAGTATAAGGTACGACAAGCTTGTTGTAGGAATTAATATATGCATTATGAACAAATGTAGTCCGTCGTTTAATGTATAACTTGTTTTTCATGACAAGTATTGAAAAATAACCTTTCATAGTTGTGTTCATACCATGTGATGTGGTGGCATTATTATACATATAGCATATTGTTTTGTGTGGTAATATGTTTACATTTGTAACATACCCCTATATGATTTTCTTACCATGCCTGTAAAATACCGTTTTCAACTGTTATATTCTCATAACTTAATCAAACCGCTTTGTGTGGGTGTGTTATTTTACCTGTAACTTACTGCTTTGTGTGGGTGTGTTATTTTACCTGTAACATACTGTTTCGTTTGGTTGTGTTATTTTACCTGTAACACACTGTATTGTGTGGGTGTGTTATTTTACCTGTAACATACTGTTTTGTGTGAGTGTGTTATTTTACCTGTAACATACTGTTTTGTTTGGGTGTGTTATTTTACCTGTAACATACTGTTTTGTGTGGGTGTGTTATTTTTCCTGTAACACACTGTTTTGTTTGGTGTGTTATTTTACCTGTAACATACTGTTTTGGGTGAGTGTGTTATTTTACCTGTAACATACTGTTTTGTGTGGGGGTGTTATTTTACCTGTAACATACTGTATTGTGTGGGTGTGTTATTTTACCTGTAACATTCTGTTTTGTGTGAGTGTGTTATTTTACCTGTAACATACTGTTTTGTGCGGGTGTGTTATTTTACCTGTAACAT